CAGGTGAGTCCCCTAAACCCCATGACTAGTGCACTTATGAGAGTATTTCAAAAAGCTCATGGAAAAATAGAATTAAAAGATAATAGAAATCTTTCCATGAACTTTTTGAAGATCCTTCTAAGAAGAGGAGACACACAGAGATACAGAGAGGGAATAATGCCATATGAAAATAGAGGCAGAGGTTAGAGTGATATGGCCACAAGCCAAGGAACACCTGGGGCACCAGAAGCTGGGAGAGGCAAAGGATTCTCCCCTAGAACTTTTAGAGGGAGCATGGCCCTGCCCACACCTTGATTTTGGACTTCTGGCTACAGAACTGTGAGAGAATAAATTTCTGTTCTTTTAAACTACGAGGTCTATGATCATTTGTTATGGTAGTTCTCAGAAAGGAATACACCAAACAAAGCTAAGGCTCCTCCCACAGACAGTCTGTCCTGGGTGTATTTTTAAATCTTGGGTTATTAGAGCCTCTTCCAAAGTCTTAGATCAGGGTTGGCAAACTTTTTTTGTAAAGCGCAAGATAGTACATATTTTAGTCTTGATAGGCCATGTAGTCTCAGTTTCCACTACTGAACTCAGCCCTTGTAGCAAGAAAACAAGCCATAAAGAATCTGTAAACAGATGGAACAGTTGTGTTCCAATAAAACTTAAAACAGGAGTCAGGCTAGATTTGGCCCTGGAGGCCCTAGTTTTCTGACCCCTGTCTTACTGTTCTCTTTTCCATATGGAGAGGTCGCTTCTCCATAAAACCAAATAAAGATCCCCAAATAACAACTCTTAACCTACATAATACATTATTGGCACATACAGGCAGAAATGTCATATAGCCTTACAACCAATGTTTGCCAAAAACCTAGTTAAAATTCAACATTTTATAGGAAGACATTGATTTGCATAAAGCAGAATTTGGAAATAATCCTGATGAGGAAACCATCTCATGAAAGAAATTTCCTCCTGTTGCCTAAGCTTACCAAAGTTCAAATAAGATGAGCCAGTCTGTTTAGAGGTAATTCTAACCTATGCTTTACAGGTGCAGGTGCAGCTCTGAGCACACATATTCACTTTATCCTCAGCACGTGCCCCCGCTACCCAGGTGGGCAATATTACCCCTGGTTTACAGAAGAAACTGAAGCACAGAGAGGTGAAGTCACTTGCCTGTGGTCACACAGTTAGTGAGAGACAGGACTGGAACTTACTCTAAGCATAAGGAAGAAACAGAGGGAGGGACAGAGAAGCTGCCTCAATTCAAAAGCCAGATCAGCAGAGGCCAACACTTAACATGTGTTTCTATTCTGTCTTTCCCTGATTTCAAAGAGAAAAATTTTAATACAAATGTTTGAATACCAATGTCCAAAGGTGATGAACTTTTATTTAGTATATTTTCTGCCCAGGTAATAAAAATAACAGCCCACAGTG